GGCTGGCCTGGGAACGCCTCGGGATTCCCCCAGAGGAGCTGGATGAAGTGGCCGGGGAGAGGGAAGTCTGGGTTTCCCTGCTGAGACTGCTGCCCCCGCGACCCGACCTCGGATAAGCGGGAGAAAATGGATGGATGGATGGAGTTAAAATAGGCGATCATTTGGCAATCTGGAAAGGATTAAATTCATTTTACATCATTTCTTATGGGGACATTTGACTTGGACCACAAATTGCAACTCGACCAGCCTTCTGCTTGTATTCCTAGGTACTGTTACGGCCAGCTCGTCCGATCCTCGTGTGTGCCATGCCCACCTCGTTACCTCGTGTTAATTCCCGATTGTCATCACCTGTTTCCTGTTCCTCTTGGCTTGTCCTGTGTATTTAGTCCGCGTCTGAGTTAGTCTTCCCAGATTAGTCATTGTATTGTCATGATGTTCGTCGATGTCTGCCCGGATCTCGACAATAAAGCCTGTTCCCTTGAGGAATCTCGCCTTCCTGCGTCGTCCTTCTCCGCCCAACGTGACAGGTACCACAGTACTAGAACTCAAGGAAACACAGAGGAATTACATGGCTCAAAACAGGGTAGATAGGAGGACCAACTAACAGCAAATGATTTCAACACATACAATAACCAACAGAGAAACAGGGTATGGGCAGGCAAAGATATACAAAGATAAGGTCTCAAGGGGCAGATGTGAGCATTTACCAATAAGCCAAACACTAGGGACTAAGAATTACAAGGAGCTGGTGGGGGTCATTACTGATTACACACATTAGAGCACTGGTTCTCAATCCTGTTCCTAGAGCCCCCCCTCTCCAGAATGTGTTCATTGCAACCCTACCTAAATCAGGCTTTTATGGTTCTTAATAGGTTAATAATGAATGTGGCAGGTTGAAAGCAGTGTGGGATGGAAAGAAAACATTCTGGCAGGGGGAGAGTCAGGAACAGGATTGTCAATTACTGCATTAGAGTCACTACGAGATACTAAGAACAAGAATTACAGGACATATTGTAAAACTAGACACAGGCAGCATAAACCAAGTACAAAGTCACTAAATGTAAGGACCAATACTTAGTTCATGAATACCAGGAAGATAATTCAGTCATGCAGGAGCCCAGGGAGTAGGAGAAAACAATAGGGTGTTAAACCTAGGGAAACATGGAGAACGGGATGGCCAGCGACACCTGCTGGTCAAACAAGGAAATTACGGACAGAACAGAACAAGGCAGAGACCACTCCTGACAGCTTCCACGTCTTTTCATCCTACAGTTTTTGTTTAACGCCAGCTAAGTAGAACCATCCTTTCTTGCTTTATACCAGTCGCACTACTTATTGAGATTAGCTGGGCTGCTGAATCATTGTAGAATTTTAACAATTCTTCATGATAAAATCTTAAAATGGTTTAAAATATCAAGGAGTATAACAAGGCAAAAGAAGTAAATGAAATGGCCTGGTTAACCTGAATTGAATTGCTTTTTAATAATTATTTCATAAAGGGTACCAGTGAGCCTGGATTCTCTACCGGGAAACACAGGATGAAACCTTGCCAGTCCAAGTGCACACGAGGGAAATTCCAGAAAAGTTCACTATTTTTTGGCTTTTTTTTGGATGGGGTGGGTTGGGTTGGGTTGGGGGGCAGAATCTTTGGGTGTAAGGCTGGGAATAACCCAGGATGGGGCACCAACCCATCACAGATTTTAGGCATTCCCTAAACCAAATTAGATTTAACATAATTTAACAACAATACTAGGTTTTAAGACATTTTTATTGTGAGACTCGCATTTGATCAAAAGCAAACATCTAACCCAAGAACCTAATACATAGCCAGAATTAAAATGTGTACAGCGAGGAAAATTAATATTGAATGTGTCAACATTTTTCTCAGTAAATATATTTCTAATGGGGCTACTGACAAATTTACACCAGATGTAGGTAACAACCCAAATAATCCACACATACAAAGAAATCAAAACAAATAAATCCATAAATTATGTGTTAGAAATATTAGAAACATATTTACTGAGAAAAATGTTGATGCATTCAATACTTTCCCCCACTGTGTGTATAAAATAAATACTACTATCTTACAGCTGTTTACATAATGTTACACACAGTCGATTTCTATCCTATTATTGTCAGAAAGAAATGTGTGCAGGTTTTACACCAATAACAACTTCAGAAGTCCTCATGCCTAAACCTTGGGTTGTAGTTTTACACTTGCATATTTTACACAGAGAAATTAGGTGATTTTAAAATTCATTTTTTATTATACAGTATAAACAACGTACTAACATGCAGATAAGAGGCAAAACTCACACTAAGTTCATATTTCAACATTGATATTTACAGATTTTAAAGCCTGGTTTCGTACAGTGGTAAATACCTGATGTGTGAAGTAGGGACTGTGGATCACAGGAGTCAGTTTCTGAGTCAGTTTCATCCTGTTTGACTTTAATGAGGTAAAACTAGTCTTTATGTGTTACAGCAGGTTAGACAAAGTACCACCTCTTTTCAAATTATCCCTAGTATGTGAGCCTCTGTGAATTTGTTTATATGTTTGGATGGGAGTGAGATTAGCCTGTGTGTATGTCAAGAAAGTGCAATCACTGTTGACCCTCCGCTGTTGACAACAACTGAAATGATATCACCCTCCACACCATCTAAACAATTATTTCCTACTGCAAGCTGCGGCTTCCAACACATTTCACGAAGTCCTTTTCTTCTCTTCCTTTGGAAATTCATGGGTGCTATACAAGATGCACAGAAACAGCCACAAAGGTTTTATAGTGTCTTTGTCAGTGGGCTGGCTCATCCACGTGCACAGTACGCTCTGTCTTCGGCAAAATGGCTGCCCAAGGTGACTCCTCTCCTGGATCCCCATGGTTTGGTTCACAATTGCAGAGGCTCCTTCAGGATTTTTACCTTTGAATAGTCATCCTCAGGTGGAATGAAGTGATCTGGGAACTAGGAGAGGAGCAATAAGAATTGACATTCCAGTGAACCAAACAGAAACCCAATATGTCTGGGATCGTTTGCTATATACAATGACTTCTAAAACTTTTCTCCGTCACTGCTCCATTAAGGTCAACTCCCCAAATAATCCTCAAGCTTCTCCCTGAGGGTTGCTGCAGAGAGTTTTGTAAACCTTTTCATAATATATCAGGTTTACAATAATCCAGCAGACAAGAGAACTCAAAGATGTTCTCCAAAACCTCATAGCAGAAGCAGAAATGGTAGAGGTTGAATCTTTACCATTGTCTTCTCACTTTTCCATGGTATCTTGATAATTCTAGGATTAGGAATCTCTGGCAGGATCAGCTTCCGGAGTCTACATGAGGAAGTGAAAGGTAGATTAGAAGGTGGATAGAGCACAATATTATCAAACTGCAATCACTTCTTGTTATGCAGGACACCAGTCAGAACCACAATAGATACAAGAAAAATTTAGCTACAGCCAGAGCAGTGGCTGACAATTTGAATCAGCCATGAATTCGAGGTGAAGAAGTGCCTCTGTTGTGCCCTTCAAATGGATACCTAAATTGTATGATATTCTATAATTTTGTATCAATTCAATTAATTTTATATAGCACCATTCACAACAGAATCAACCCAACTTTACCTGGATATGTTGTAATACATTATTACATCAGTTCTACAGAATAATACACAAAATAGACGTAAGGCAAAGAAAGAAAGCCTGCTGACAACATATCAGTACTGGGGCTTTTCCCCTGCTACCAAGAACCGAGCCATACCTCAAATTGCCGGTTTTACTTTGTAAAGTATGTGAGCCGTACCCATGGCATAACCATGATCACATAGCCCTGCTTACTAGCAGGGCTGAAAGCGTGATCAAACCGAGTTGATTTAGCGGCCACTATTTGACTGGTCAAAATGCAAGGAGATACCGGTGTTCTACGCATGTACTATCTGAAGGTAAAACATGTATATCATGCATATTTATTCATCATCATCATCGGCGATCACTTGGAGTCAAGCATGATGGTCCACCTGGGGGGTCCTTATTGTGGATCTTCAGATGGCTGAAGAGGCCAGTTCTCAAACCACAAACCTTGTCACAATGTGGACATGGATATGAGGTGCTGGGGGTAGCCTGTTTGGCAGTGACTCTCTCCTTTCTTTGCTGCCACTTGATTTTGGCAGCCTGTCGGAGATTGTCCTCAAGTAGAGTGGCACCCTTATGTAGGCTGTTTCTCCATGTGGTTCTGTTTTTAGCTATATCTTCCCAGTTTGAAATGTGTTTTTGAAATTTCTTCAAGTTGGTTTTGATGTCCTTTTAGCACTTTTTCTGTCCTCCAGGTGCATGCTGGCCAGCAGAAAGCTCTGAGTAGAGAACCTGTTTTGGCATGCGTATTACATGACCTGTCCATCTTAGCTGGTGTTTTATGATGGTGGTGACAATATTGTCACAGTTTGCCTCCTCTAGGATGCTGATGTTAGTCCGCCTCTCTTCCCAGCAAACACGCAGAATCTAACGCAAACACATTTGGTGGTAGGATTCCAGGGCTCTTAAATGCCTGCTATATGTAGTCCAGGTCTCTGCTCCATATAGGAGTGTTGGTAAAATGACTGCGTTATATACCAGTAACTTGGTTTTTGAAAGAAGATCAGAGTTTTCAAAGACTCTCCTACGAAGTTTTGCAAAGGCCCCACTAGCACAGCATATATGGTAGTGAATTTCATGGTCGATGTCTGCTCTTGAGGAGAGGTGGCTTCCCAAATAGGGAAAATTATCCATGATCTCAAGGCATTCACCATCAGTTGTTATTGTTGGTGGGGATGTAGAATGGTCTGGTGGGGGCTGATGGAGAACCTTTGTCGTTTGATGTTCATAGTCAGGCCTAGAAGTCTGTAGAGAGGAGTGTGCTGATGGATTATCCAAACAGGTGGACGCCTGTGCGTGGCTTCTTTTAACGTGGGGAGACTGGGGCACAAACAGCCACCACACAGTCCTTGACAGAGACAAACCTATTATAAACAGCATGGACTCCAAGACAGTTGAAGGTCCCTCTCTGCTGCAGCCTTCACAGCCGTTGTTGTGATCCACTTGCATGCCTGGACAGAATCTTCTGCCTGCTCCGCTGTTGAAGTCTTTCTTGAGTCGCGCTTTGTCTGGCACCTCCTCCTCAGCCTTGCCGCCAAGGGTGACCCTACCAGGAGCGTGGCTCTAGACGGTATTGCTCTTGGGATCTCAGGCACATGCAAGCCTCTCCACCACGACAAGGTGGTGACTCTCCAGAGAGGGCATATTCATTATTAGTAGTATCGCACATTGCGATGTATTAATGCATTCTATAACTTTGAACTTGAAAATATCTAACCTCCTTCTTCAAAAACTACCACAGAACAGCTGAACGAAATGGATTTGTAGCGCAAATTTACACAACCGAATGATAATTCCACTAGTGTTTGACTACATAACATAGCTAACACAACATGGCGATTCTCACAGATGTGCTAGAAAATTAGGAAATTAGCATGGTAAGTCATGATGTACACCGTGTGAACAGTAAAGCATCTCTTCAGTTTTATGTCGCTGTCACTCTCCAAACCTGGCAGACTGGCAACTGAGCTGACCCTTCTGCAGTGGAAAACCAAAGCAAGCTGGAACCCCACATTGTAACTACTCTCTCCTCACAGTACAGCTTCGGTATGTTTCAGTTCCTGTATGTCAGTGGAAAAGCACCATATGTTTATGCTGTAAAATATCAGAAACTGTGAAAGAAATTCTCAGAATCCCATGTAAACCTTTTATTTTGAAGTGTCTTTGAAACTTGTAAAATACTATTTAATTCAGAGGCCTGACAGGTTTTGTTTAAAATGGAAAACTTGAGTTTTAAACTCCCTTAAGTACAGTAAAAGAGGAAAAATTGTATGTATAGCACTATTATGAGCACATAGGACAATACAATGCAATCTATTGTAAAAAAAGATGGGCAACTCTAACTATGAGACAGCAAAGTACAAAGTACAAAAAGGCCAGATATTCCTGAGAGATGATCGTTACTACCAGAGGCTTAATCCAACAGGAAGGGTCATGGCAGAGCAGCTAATGCTTGTGACTGCTTCCAAGTGTGGTTTGGAAGAAAAACAGCCCCAGCTTCAAGCAGACCAGCTGCTTTGGAGATAATTTTGTTGAGACAGGATGCCCAATCAGCAAATAAGAAAACAGTTTTGACTATTTCTCCTTGCTAAATATAGGTTAAATGCGTTCTGCCCTAATCCGATTCCAAGAACACAAGACAACATGACTGCATTTCAGGCACTCATGAGACTCCAACACGGCTCATGTCTCTTTCTCAGTCCAAGAGCACTTACTTCTTAATGAAGATTAGGCAAATGATCGCAGCAATTGTGAACAGGACAGGAATGGTGATAACAACAACATGCGGGGACCAGTTCGGTGGTTTGGGCTGACCTAAAGGAGAAAACCAGATGTAGAAACATCCTCTTTCAGCAACACCTTCAAAATCCTCAACATGATACTGTTATCCTGGAATTCATATCAGATTTATATCTGTGGTGTTAGGAACTAATTCAGTATTTTTAATATATAAATTATGCTTAATTAGGCTCAAACATTCTTATTAAACAAAGTCTGCATGTATTAATATTGTCACACAAACTAATACCCTAACATATATTTTTTTATAAAAAATAAAAAACAGTTTAGTCCGGTGGACGTAAAATATAACCACAATCTGAAATGGCTTGTGTTTTTTATATTCCCAAAGAACACTGAAAGCAATTAAGAGATATATTTCAATAGTTTCAAACATGTTTGTAATGTTTTCTATGCAATTTATTAGCAAAGAAGCATTTGCAATTTTGGTGCTAGTGAAGAATCACTGTGGGTTTATGGCCAGCCAGAAGATGTTACCATAGCGTTTCTCCAAACTCCAGTCCGTGGCTCCACATCCACATCTGTTTGTGAAGTTGGCCTTCACCTGCACCACATACTGATACTGGACGTCGTAGACCAGTTTGTCATTGGTTGTCTTGGAAACATTACCCATCTGCCAACAGGTAGCACAGCGTTTAATGAACCTGATCAAACATCAGCAATATCAGTAAACAAAAACAAAACCTATAGGGATCACTATTTGGCAGCATAAAACTATGTGTCAAAAACTGCTACCCCACAAAAACCTATAGGGATCCCAATTTGGCAACATAATATTACCTTTGAAAAACTGCAACCCCAAAAAAAAAGGCTATAGGGATCACTTATTGACAGCAAAAGTAAGTTGTACTTAGTTAGCATGGGATAGACATCACAGCATCCAGGGTGTACCCCAGCCTTGTGCCCTGAGTAACCCCTGCATCCCTGACTATGATAAGTGGTAAGAATAGATACTTAGCATTAGGGAAGACTCAAGAATAGCAAACTAAATGAACTACATTAAAAATTTAAAGGTGACATAGTAATTAGCAGCACAAAAACATGATTGTGTGATTGACGTGGCAATAACCAGGTTTTGTACCATAATTACCCCAATACAGGGATGTTGGGTATAGATGATAGCGATATGTCCCTATCATATTGTGGGAGAACCATATGTGTTCACCATCTATATCCTATAAATCATTTATTCTTTCCTTCTTTTTCTATTCACCTGGTACTTGTTCTGCCTATGATGGAAGTTCTGTATCAGAGCAAAGTTCGATGATTCTGCTGTGCCACTATCCATTATTTACTTTACTTTTTATTTCTTTAGCAGATGCTTTTATATAAAGTGATATACGTTATTTTTTATTTGACTTTATGATAGCTGGTATACTCATGCCAATGTTTCCAAATCACTGGAACTACACTTTCAGTATAAACACCCCCTCTTGTGACCCTCTCCTCTGCACTCACCTTCCAGTCCTGGAATTCATTGGTCTTGAACCGGTAGAGGTAGTCCCAACAATCTGCATTTAACAGACCAGGGTCTTTCCATTTCAAATTCAGGGAGTTATATTCATGGAAAATATCCAGTTGCGGGGGTGGGGGCCTCACTGTTGGGGGATAAAAGGGAGCAGCTTATTATTTATCCAACAGCTGTTTTAAAAAGGTTGAAAAAAGTACAATGAATGATAATTAATGATAAATAATGTAAGTTCACTTAATAGCAAACATTTAAAATTATGAATGACCCTATTATTATCATCATTATTATTATTATAATTATTATTAGTAGTAGTAGTATGTGTCCTGTCAAGAACTGACATCCTGTATTTGGTAAGCAGCTGCAAGATCTACAGATTTAAAATTTTACTTAGCACTATATAATGTAGGCATTATGCAATCATAAAATATTTTGAAAAAGAAAGCACATCCTCTATTACTTCTACGGTTTTCCATATTAGGGCATACAGAACAATCGTCTGGATCACAGCGACTCCTAGTATCAGACAAAAATAGCTTCTGATAATAGATGACATATAACACATTTCACTATGTAATTATCTATTCAACAAGGAGGGGCCTATAAAACTGAAGCCCAAAAGTAAATGCACCCAAAATCCTTTCAAAAAAGTTAAAGATGTTAATTAGTATCCAGGTGCTGCAAATCAAACATACTTAGTCATGAGGAAACGTGACCTTCTCAATCAAAAGCAGAACTTTTGGCAGTTTTGTGTTTAAAACCAGGCAATGCAAAGACCTGGGTCGACAGGAAAATGACCTATGTCTGAAAATAACTTTGCAGCATGGCAAAGCTACATCTTAACAAACCTCACTTCCTCTGGACAGACAATTATACTGTGCAGAAGATATGAGTACAAGCACCCTTACGATATCTTCTGCGCAGTGATACGACTGGTGTGTGGAGTTCAGTAGAAGAAAATATTTCCTACATTAAACTGCTCACTACCAAGTCTGTGGATTATCTTGAGTAACCAGGTCATGATTTCTAGGAAGACACATCGCTGTTGAATTTTTCAAATGTATTTTTCTGCCGATTTAATAGCCACAGAAAGAATGACATCACTTATTTTCGAGGGAAGCCCAACATTTTTGCGGCTGATATCACAACAACCTAGATGGATAGATAGCACTAAAGCTGCTCTAAAACAAACTTTTTTAAGTTTTGGGGTGAACTGCACCTTTAACACAAAAGTTTTCTAGAGGCAAAAGTACGCCCATCTGACTAACAGCTAAAGCATGGCTGAAATTGGGTCATAGGGCAACACAAGCAAATACAGTGGAACCTTGGAACTCGAACGCCGCTTAACTCGACCAACTCAGACATTGAATGGGTCAAATTTATTTCGACATGTACCTTGACCGAAACCTTGAAACTCGACCGCTCCTACTAAAATTGTATGGTTTGAGATGCGTTCAATTCTATCAATACGGACCTGGAATGGGTCAGTTGAGAAAAATTTCAACTGAAAACTCGGAACACGACAAAACAAAACAGACTTGCTAAAACTTGTATGGATTAAGGTGCATCTCTGATGGGCTGAAACAAGCAAACCAACCTACTGAAATGCTTATGCCTATGAATCGCTCTCAGTCTCACAGTACCTCTTGACTGAGTTTGACATGCGAAAGCTGTGTTCCTGTGATTGGGGTGACTTTTTTGTGCTTTATAAAGGTGAAGTGATTAGTTATTGTTCACACACCATAGCACACAGTGCATAACAAGGAAATGTGTCCTCTGCATTTAACCCATATGTGACATTACTTTTTATTGATTATGAGTGCTTTTTTATCATTAGCTAGGTAGATAACTTAAAATAGGCAATCATTTGGGGGTCTGGAATGGATTAAATTCATGTACATTATTTCTTATGGGGAAATTTGACTTGGACCTCGACGAAATCGCAACTGGAGTAGTCTTCTGGAATGAATTAAGTTTGTGTTCCAAGGTACCACTATATACAAATGAATGTTTTTATTTTTTAAAGAATCAAGCCAAGGACAGATTAACCACACTGAAAAGCTGCAGCAAGATGAAAAGAATGCACAAATGAATTCCCTGAAACATCCATTAACTGAAGCAATGCTGTAAGGAATAATAGGCCAAGATTCCAACAAAATGAAACAACTCATACAAAAATGATTACTTCCAGCTATATCTGTTAAAGGCAGATCTACCAAATACTAAATCATGTAGTGTACTTGCATACCTTCTGCATGATACCTTATTTGTTGTTAATTTAATCATGACATAGTGGAATTTGTTGTATTTTATGTCTCCAGAGGTTAGATTTACAGTTTCATGACCTGGCAAAGATTATTTTCAGGGGCCTTGATATAAAATACAGATGTTCCTCTACTTACGAATGAGATACGTTCTGAACGGCCGTTCGTAACTTGAAATGTTCATAAGTTGTTATTGAAGGGTTATTAAGGGTATACGCAAGTACAAAGAACTAGGATGCTTGGAGTACACACACTACGTTGCTGTGCGGTGTGAGTAGCGGCCAGAAGTCATACTACCTGTAATTAGCATGCAGAAAAAAAAATTGATGGTGCGGACAGGAAATGGGAGCCCAAAGAACACAATTTGCACTTATAGTTCTCTTTGTTCATATGTCTGAAAGTTCGTAAGTTGAAAGTTCGTAAGTAGAGGAGCGTCTCTACTATACAACATTTTCACATTTGTACAAGGACCCAGACCCTCACTCCACAACCCATTCCTGAGCCTTTTCAGTTTCAAGCCCCAATTTGTTTTCTTGTATATTTTTATCCATCAAATAAAATGGCTGCCAGTTGTTTTTGTATCTTCCCACTTTTTTGTCAACTAATCTCCATTCCTATGCTTAAGTTAGCCGTTGTTTCTTCTACCTTCCAAATTTCATGTGGTTTTGGTTGCCAGTTTGTCTGAAGTATGTATTATATACTGAATATTATATACTGAAACATGTCCTGATTTGTAAACAAACAATTTTCAGTTTGGCTGGCTGACAAAACAACTTTTGTTAAATAATTCAGCACAAATTGATATTTTATGTTTGAAAATGGATAGAGAAAATGGACAAAGAGCCTGGAATGTAAATGTCACAAGAATGTTGAATGTAATAAGTGTGAGTTATCGTCTTGTAAACAGCATACACCGTTGACATTACCATTGTCCCGAGGCATCCTTTGGAAGTAGTTATTCAGGGTGGAAGTGCCCTGAGTGCCACTGAGGTCAAAGTGGACTGCGCTTGACAGATTACTGAGATTACTGTGGTTGAGGAACTTTCCACTTAGGTGACAGCCCATCTTCACACCTTGTTCAAATAGGTACAACTTGCAGGGCTCAGGTGCTGGCTGGTCTTCATACCTGTGACATCAAAGCAACTACAGTCTTTACCTGTATGGAATATCCTGAAAATATCCATTGCTAAGTAATGGATATAACAGCTGTTCTAACTATCCCAGAAACATCTGCAGGCATGTAAAAGGACAATCAGACACTCACACACAAAGATGCAGGCTCCAGGTATCCCTTACATCCTGCAGTCTCAAGTTATTCCTGGCATTAATACTGCCTTTACCTAACACTCCCTTCACCTGTCAGCATTTAACCAGCATTCCCAGCAAAATGTAAGCTCATCCCCCTATTTTGTGTTCTAAAGTTGCTTTGAATTTCTCCACAGGGGGGACATTTTATAAATATAAATATATGCATTTTTGTGCAAATATCATTGCAAAAATACATTGACTGATGCAATTTGGTGGTTGTCTATGGAAATGCCTTATTAAGAAATGGCATGGCAGTTCTTGAGGTTAGTTAGACATAGGACTCACCAGTAGGAGAGCTGAAGATCTTCTGTCTCATTCATTGTTTTCCATGTGCAGTTCATAGCTTCAGACGCATAGTAAATACAATCAAAGTTCCGTATCAATTCTTCTGTAGCCAACAAAAAAATGAAGATTTTTTTTTGTGTTAAACAAAGAGTTGTCAAAAATAATCAGGGAAAGATTTATCTTTTGTTAACTTAAATACTGACAAACTGCAAATTCAGCCTAATGCCCCAAGTACAATCCAAAGTTAATATTTCTTTTAAATTAATTTCATTTCACCTTTAAATGAATTCAAAATTCCGACATAACACATACAGTGAGGGAAATAATTATTTGACCCTATGCTGAATTCTTAAGTTGACCTATTAATAAAGAAATGAGAAGTATATAATTTCACTAGAAGGTTTATTTTATACAATAGATCAGTGATTCCCAACCGGGGGTACGCGTACCCCTAGTGGTACGCGAGCACATTACAGGGGGTAC